ACAAGCTGATCATCAGTAAGAATATCAGCTCCACGGTAGGTTCTGGCGTCAAGGATGTGGGACTGAATTCGTTGTTCTGTCACTATATAGTCCAGCAGATGTTCTTGCTTGAATCCAGCATGTATCCATGATATTTAGTCGCTTTTCATGATAAAATAAATGATACATTTTGATACAGCTATTATTATCTGCTCCTAATTTGCTGAGGTTCAGTGAATTAGTGCCTACATGACCTAAAACATGTTAATATTTAAGTGCAAACACGCGATTTTAACAAGTCAAGATTTTAAAAATATATATCAAAAGATGTACAGTTTGTAACCTGCACAAGTTTAACATAAGAAACAAGTAAATCTACGGAAAAGTGGAAAGAAGACCACATCTAGCCCCAATAATTGCCAAATCTGTGTTCTTATTTTTTCATGTTTGGCTAACTCCATCATTGAGTCTTTATACATATTAGAGGAAACAGCAGTACCCGGGAAAAAGAAACCACTGATGTGAGGAGGGTAACACTCAACCCCCTACAGATCGAAATGGATCCACTTGCTGTAATGCCCCACATTGGCAAACCAGGACATGCCAACTTTGACACCTACAGGTATGGACGTCACCTTGTTACCTTGTGCCATCAGGTCGAGTACAACCTTTGGTGACTTCCACGACCAGACTCCGCTATCCAGACCTGTCTGGGTTAGTGTAAGGCCAGTGGTGTTCTTGATGTCATCCATCCACCTCCTCCGAAGTCGACCTCTACCCCTGCTATCTTCTCCATTCCTGAGCAAGAACGATGCCTCTAGTGCAAATGTCCTCGTAACTTTTTCAAAGTATGTTAATTTCTCTCAAGACAGATATGTTTGATATTTTGGCTGCCCATGGTATACATGGCATTCTTCTCCAGCACCACATCCCAAATGTGGTGATCCTTAGTGCGGCTTGGAAACGTATTATTAAATAATACATATTACAATTCCTTATAGGGGAAACATTAATTAACGGATTACTAATGTAGCATATAATCACAATAACACACATTACAACTAATTACTAATCTACAACTCATTACTAATCATAACCATTGACTGATTACCAATCGATTATATAATTACAATACCCCCCCTCAGCCTCAAATCACTGCACCTGAAATTAGTTGAATGATGACGTCACCCTGCTGCTCTATTTAAGACCGAGAGCAAGTGAGGGCTTTACCATTCTGACGAATTGCCCGATGATGCTGGATGTAATTACCAGTGAAACGTCGTATTCAAACTGTAAATGTTGTGGATTCACTCTTCAACACACCGGTGGGCTAAAGTAGTGAACTAATTGTCTTTTGTCAACGTGACACTTTATTTTGCTGATTTGCCGTGTCGGGTGGTGGAGGGTTACGACACATTTATAAATAACGTGATCTAACCCAAAAACCTTTATTATGATCCTATTTCACTCACTCAATCTCGGCGTCCATGACTCGCATCCATATACAGCAACAGGGAATACCAGAACTTTAAAAAATCTCTTCTTGGTGTTCATGGTAATGCCCTTGTGTCTCCATATGTTATTGAGCTGTGACATCGTTGTTCTACCTCAAACTATCCACCTTCTGATCTTGTGGCTACACTCCCCGTCTTCAGAAATCAAGGAGCCCAGGAATACAAAGTTCTGCATAACTTTGATTGGTTAATTTTCCAGACTAAATTAGTTTGGTTATTCTGTCGCAATAACCTTCGTCTTTGGGAGATTGAGGCAGAGTCCAGCCTTCTCACTAGCTTCTTTAACATTTGTAGTGACTGGGAAGGTCACTGTGTGGCGCCGTGGCCTGCGAGGCCACGGCAGAAGATGCACCGTCATCGCGTATACCCCGGACATGGGGTGCAGTATCAACCCTAGTGGAGGTTTTGGAGAAGGCTTGTTAGCACAATGGCACCACATGCTGCGCACAGTGCAGGCTTCCACTTGAGGGAGCGAGAGAGCGTCAGCCTAGTGAGGGTAACATCAAGTGATGCTACTCTGGTTGACCTGTGGCCACGTGATGGGTCATTACCAGAGGGGGGCCACAGGTGGAAGGGGGCCAAAGGGTGGTCACATGGTCTGGAGAGAGCTTTCGAGAGCCTGCGAGTAAGGGCGAGAAAGATCGAGAAGGTGGGCGGGGCAAGAGGCGTAGCTAGCCCCAGCCCGGACAAATATAATGGGGTCCCTGAGAGGGGCCCGGGCTTCTTCGTGTTGGAGAGGCAAGGAGTTCCACGTCAAGCTGAAGAAGCCTCCAGCCACGCGGTCCGGGACTCAGCTTGTGTTCCGGACCGGGATCGCATAACAGAGTGTGTGAACGCCGTCACCACCCTAGGTGTACGTTGTGTTAATAGGAAATAAATGTGTTGCTCCTAAAGACAACGTCTGTGATTCGGTTGGACTCGCTACACATTTACCGACAGGGTCATCATTTTAGCTTTGCTATTTGCGAGCATGGTAGTATCATCAGCATATTGTAAGCTGTTTATTCTTCTGCCTTCAATCTTCATGCCTGCTTAAATTGAATCCAGGCCTGCCTATCTCATTATATGCTCAATGTATCTATTTAATTGGTATGGAGACAATATACGGCCCTGTTTTACTCCATTCCCAAGGTCAATTTCTCGTGTCTCCCCAAACTGTTGCTTTTTAAACGTCGTACTCAGATTTGTAAATGTTGTGGCTTTGCTCTCCAACCCACTGGTGTGCTGTACTCGTAACGAATTGATATGTTTTGTTTACGAGACAAACCTTACGAACTAACCCAAGAAAACTTGTATTACCAATGCTTTTTGGTTGGCATATAGGTTACGTAACAGGCATACAAGGTGAGTTCGGATTCCCATTTCCTTCAATGTAATCAATATCAGTTTTTGGTTTCCACACTAAAAAGCTTTGCTGTAGTCAATGAAGCAGAGGTACAGCTGTTGCCGGTATTCGTTTGATCTTTCCATTATCCATTTGATGTTTACAATTTGGTCCCTTGTTCCTCTTCTATTCCTGAAGCCTACTTGAACATCTGATAGTTCTCTTTCTACATAGCTCTTAATTCTATGTTGAATAATATTCAGCCAAACTTTGCTGGTATGGGATATGGGAGCTATAGTACGGTTGTTGGAGCATTGTCTGGGCTCGATTTTCTTATGTTTAGGTATTTATATTGCACGGTTCAAGTCTCTAGGCCACTTCACCGCTTGACCAAATCTGTTGGCAAAAACTGTTAGTATATTAATAGCCTCATCTCCTGCTCCCTTGATGGGCTCATTGGGTGTGACATCTACTCCTGGGGCTTTGTTTGTAAGTTCTTTCAGGGTTTTCGTACTTCCCACTCAATCACAGTAGGTTCTTGTTCGTACTTTCCTGCATCAAACATTTTGTTCATGCTTTCATGTAGCTTATACAGTTTCTCTGTTTATTCTCTCCATCTGCCGTGCTGTCCAGTTATCCAAGTTGTCCGCATGTCACCTGCTTTTGCATTCCAATCTCCCATGACAACTAATGTGTCACATTTTGATGTGCTGTCGATTGTTTCGTGAAGTTTCCCAAATAACTCATCAATGTCAGCTGCCTCAGACGTTCAGATGGGTGCGCAGACCAACACAATGGTGATGTTAACTGGTTAGGATTGTAAACGTACTGAGATAATGCCATCATTAACCGAGTTGTAACCTACTACAGAGTTAGCTGTTTTTCTTCCACAAATAATGGCTTCTCCATTCATCGTGTACGATTCAAGGGATGTCTTTTCACGAATTAGTATGATCCACCAACCTTAGCCTCCATAGCGCTGGGTTACAGGCAAAAACTGAAATATGGAATTTCCAGCTAATACTGGTTTTCCACAAAATCGTGTAAACAAATGCTCAATCAGGTCCATTGTTTTCCTGGTCGAATGAGTAATTCTCATCTCTGTTGGTGACCTTGAGACAGCAGTGCAAATGCTGCATATCCATTACAAAGAGCAGTCTCTCAAGTAGCGACTCATCTCCCACAGCATAGCACTCTTTTCACGTGCAGCAAAAGTTAAGGGTGTGCCTTATAATTTTGGAAAATCCATTTTATCTTTTGTGAGTTCTGTTTTAATAAGTTCAGAATAATATTTCAATTAATATTTCTCCCTGTTTTAAAGCAGTAAGTTACGTTCATAATCATATTTTAGAAGGCTGCTCTGCATACTAGTTGAAAACGATTATTAAAGCACATTTTTTGTTTCAAAATTACCCCATGGTTTGGGGTGTGTGTTTTTATCTTAAGCGTCTTATTATGAAGAAAATAACAAAATTGTAAATCATTAGGGACAAAATCTTGACCCAAAACGGCCTTGTGATTGTAAGTCAGGCATTATAAACATCGTGCAATAAATCTGAATGAATAATTAAACGGGAGTTTTTCAGTATATAGAATGCCATGAAGGACATTCGCTAAACAATCGAAGATATCTATCAGAGGAACCAAGGACAATTATTGAAAGCGGGCCAGGATTAAAAAAAAATGAAATACAGAATCGGGTGAGATCAGGTTGCAGTGCTTTTCTAAAATTTACCTTGATAATAAAAAGTAACATTAACTTTTGAACTTATTTTGCACCATACACCTGTGCTAATTGGAGGTGCCTAAATAAAGAAGTTGTCAATGCGTGTACTTCTGGCTGTGACATATGGTTCAAAGACCTGGACAAAAACATAAAAGGGCACAAAGAAGCAAAGAGAGATACATGCTTGGAATTACATGCAGAAGAACATACACAAGTTAGGTGACATCACGTTGATAACATAAGTAAATGGGCTTGGTCAGGACAATCCCAAGAAGATAAGATGGCCGATGATCGAGAATAGTGGGGTGGCGGCCAAGAAATGGAACGCGTCTGAGAGGACCGTCCATCGAGGATATGGAGCAATGAGATCATCTCATATGCAGGTAGGGGTTACATCTCAGGATCATGAGAGGTGGCAACTGCAGTGGATCGGTCACATCTGATGATGATGTGTCAGTGTTTCTGCAGGTTGCAGAGATGTACATTGCGGCTCAGCGTTCTGGTGACATGGTCTGCATCGAGAACACACGGGTACAGGTGGTGCAGCTCGCCAACCTGCAGGTAGTGGAGGATGCCAAGGAACTCTACCGGAAGGAGGTGGAGAACATCTTAGTCGACTTTCCACTGAAAACCTGTCAGCTCTACAAGGACCACGAAAAGTGCATGGAGAAAGCTATGGATCTCTTCTACTGTCACGCTGTGCTCGATTGGGAGCACACGCACGAGAAGGAGTTGATGGTGAGTATGGGTGAACTGGGTGCTGGTGACTATGCATGCCTATTATCCAGCACTACAGAGGCTAGGTTTGGTGGATCGCACACATGTTATGCAACTCCCTTAGCATGACCGTCACAGGTGCAATACTCTTATATTATCTCACTCTGCCCCATCCCGTCCTCTCCACTCCCAATCTCTTCTACCCCTCTCTGTGCCTCCCTCACCTTGCGCCCGGTCGCGCTCTCATTCCTGTTCCCTTCTTGCTCCCCTTCAATGGAACTAACTACCACTGCAGCACACAGAGCAATCATCTTCACCATAATCAGCTTCTGTTTCTCCCGTAAAACAACCCCCATGTCTTCTCCCGAGCCCACCCTACTACCATTCCCTAACTCCCGCTATCCCAGCTATGACCAGGCCTGCCACTAGGCCTACCAGTAGGCCTATTATTTCCCCTAGCAGTACCCATATTTAACCACTCCCATCTGTCCTATCACCATAACTGCACCACTTTTTAGTAATAACCACAATCATCGTATGTACAATTGTATGAATATTGTAAAGCGTATTGGACTAAAGCACTCTATACATCTATATAAGATGTGATTTAATCTGCCCTATCTTTATAGAATTGAGGGTTGCCCCCTCACACGTGTGGGTTTTCTCTGGTGGCACTGGTTTTATCGCATATGTAGAAATACTGATTAATTAGCTGGAAATCTCTCAAATTATGCACCTGTGTGTTTGTGGATTGCACAGAATTGAGATGGATTTGTTTAACTAGATAAGTGAAAACGTACGATGAAATTATTTAAACCTAAGAATTAAAGATTACGTGTTTAAGCGCTGTAGTGAGTCATTGAGCAAGTGAGACATTTAATGGGTGGGTGAGTGTATGAGTGAGTGGGTAATTGTGTGTATGTGTGTGAGTGGTTGAGTCGTTGAGTGGATAATTGAGGAACAGTGAGTAGGTCGCTGAGTAATTTTGATGGACTGTGTTACTTAGGTGTGGTTTGGGACTATTTGTATTTAACTACTTTGCCCAAGATGGCATTTGGTGTTGAAAGATCGGCAGGAATGGATGTACTTATGCAATCCATACATATATACTTTATTTACTCTTTATGTATATTGACTGACTTCCAAAGCTTTCGTATATTTTCCACTCCTATCTGTTTTTGCATTGTTGTAACTTTCTGACCTGCCCCTATTGGACATCTGTGAAAAAGAGCTTCATATCTCATCGGATCCTTCCATTTGAAATAAACATTCTGATTCGGATTCTAAGTGGGTGAGTGGGTGAGCAAGTGAATTGGTGGATGAGTATGTGACTGGGTGAGAGATTGAGGGATGGTTGAAAGGCTGAGTCTAATTGGTCAGGGGGCTCCCATTGTATTCCTTGCACCAGGGGCCATATTAATTATGCTACACAATTGCAACAGCCCAGGATCATCACTGGAAATGCGTGTTGTTGTTATTATGACAGAAGCACATGGAGAATATGTGTAAGAGGTTGGTGACACACAACAAGCAGCAATCGCAGGAAAAGTGCAGAATACGACTCAAAGAACTGTACTGGCTGGTGGATGAGCAGTACCAGGACTTCATGCAGCCTGGAGGCTTCATGAAATACCAGGCGATGATGAAGAAGATTGAAGAGGATTACTTTGAGACCACAGGGCTCGGAGACGAGGTGACTTACCACAGCAACAACCTATATAAAGCACCGATAATTAAATGAATGTCCCAGAGTGCAGAATTACTAATGAGGGAATGAAATGGACCCAGCAATGAAAGCAGATAAATTAAGCAATGCTTGTAATTGCACTCAATAAATCATAACTGGCAAAGGTGGCTCAGCAAAATAGAAAGCGTCTCTCAACGAAATCCTGTTTGGTGGCTGTCTCAGTCCATATCAGTCCAAACTAATATACTTGATTCAGAGGAATGTGTAATTTAAACCACTGACTCGGCATTGCAAGCAGAAGATGAGCACTGCCTTCATGCTCATTTAGGTAGAAAACTACTTTGGCTTTGTAACTTTGTTGAAATGTGGCCATATCTTTGCAATAAAAAATATTTGGAAATATTTATGATTTCCCAGTGTAAGGATCGTATGGGGTGATGAAGAGACAGTACGGCTCCCCGTGGCCATGGTTACTAATTAACGTAACGGGAACAGACAGGCTCACGTTAGGGTAATGTGGGACCTAAGTGGTCGCTAATAATGATTGATGGGACATTTGTTGACAGGGCACGTAGGGGGAAGTACAGGACCTAACGGTCGTAAATTGTAATAAGGGCAGAGACAAACACGGCCAGGTGCAGTAAGAGAGGGTTCTGGAATAGGGGCGTGGCCGGGTCGTGAGGGGGATAAGAGCCGGCGCGAACCGGTGTGCGGGGCTGCTGTTGTGGGGAAATTGCCGTCGCCGTCGTCACCTTGGAGCGGGTCGTCTTCATCATCCTGGCGTTGGCACCTTGTAGTTTTGGAAGGCTAGAGTTGTTTTGTCTCAGAATAGAGTTGTCTAAGTTACTCAAGAATGTATAGTAACTCGCAGTTACTCGTTAAGTTATCAGTGAGTCGGCGGACTTTATTCATAATAAATATACATATAATTGAACAAGACGGTTTCTCTGAGAGGTACATTACACAAGTATAGAAATGCTACAGAGCTTGCTCTGGTAGGGCACTTTGAGTGTCAGATTTCCAAACTCGATAGCCTCCAAACTAGTGGAGAACATAAAAAAACGCTCAACAAAAACATTAAGCAAGAAATCCATCTCCAATTACACCAGATATTGGCTTAAATTTATTTACAAGATTCCATCACCATTAGCACAGATGAAATGAGGGAGGATGTGGCCGGAAATGAAGGCAAGGCTGCTGGCAGAGATGGTATCCCCCCAAAATCCCTCCATCACTTAATCCTTAGGGGACACCAATGGCCGGAAAAAACATCTACACCAAAACAACGAAAACCGGATGCATCTAAAATGCATGGTGGCAGGCTATAGTCGTTGCATCACCCAAACGGGACAAGCCAACCAACTATCCAGGAAGCTATAGGTGTATGCTCTTGTACATGACCTATAAACTTCTGGGATGCAAGATCCTCCAGAAAATTAGCCTTCTCGTGGAGTCAGTGATCACTGAAGAATAAGCAGGATTCTGGCCCTGATGCAGCTTCTGTGACCAAGTTTTGGTCCTTGCAAAGGATATTGATTTCGGATTCTAGAATAAATCCAAGACCGGTACAGCCTTTGTGGACTTGTCATCGACCTATGACACAGTGTAGATTAAGGCTTGATGTTGAAGCTCACAAGGACCATTCCTTGACTCTAAACAATGTGCCTGATATGGAAGATGCGGAGAAATAGGTGACTGTGTGTCTTTATGGTAGACAAAGCCAGCTCACCCTTGTTCCTCAATGGATTGCCACAAAATTCAGTACTCGCACGAAATGCTCAATGTCTACACGAGCTACATGCCGCCAACCGGATTACCCAAATTTGCATATGCGTATGACCTTGCCCTGGAAGCCACTTTCAACGACATCGAATCTACTCTGAACCAATACCTAAACCTCATTGGGGAATATTTAAAGAAATGGAGGCACAAGCCAAATCTCCAAAATAAAAGGTTTAGTTTTTTGTGTCTGTCTGTCTCTCTTTTCACATTATGCAATGCTCTTTCATATGACTCAATGCCTGTGGAAAATCTAAACTCCGCTAATTTTACATGATGCATAATCTTGAAGTTTTCCAGAAATTAAGGTCACTGGTTTGATTCAATATTCTTAAGTTCCCACTTAATGCCTCTGTCCACCCAGCAGTATTAACAGGTACGCCATAGTTAGTCAAACGGCAGGTTGTGTGTGGTGCGGTTCAGGATGGGTACTTCCATAAATTCCAAAATGTCTGACCAGTATCGAAGTCTAAGTAAAAAACACCCTCTCTAGGAGCTCCCTATTGTGCAGACCCTTATGCTACCAGTTATGTGAGCAAGAAATTGAAGCTAAGATTGTAGGTTTTACGACCTCAATCACAGTTCATAATCTAATTTATAGTTGGGTGTAACTGCGTGTGTGATTTTCACCAGTTGTTTTGTCTAAGTTGCCTCCTACCCGGTCTATTTTGCCCACAAAGGCAATCAGCGAATTAGGAGTGGTAATGTAACAGATTGGTGATTACCAGTGAGTCCTGATTTAAAATTTGCAGATTGCGACTCTACATGCCAGTTGTGTAACAGCAGTAGGAGCAGCCAATAAATATCGGCAGATTGTACAGCAGCATACGCTTGGTTCATGAAGCCTTGCCAGGCATAAGATGTGCACGATGTGCTTCAGGCTTCTTTAGACCTGGTGTAACCTCGTGTTGATGTACAGTAATTAAAATGCAGGACCCTTCACCTTTTCCACCTTCGCAGATGACGAGTATGTACAAGGAATTTCTGGAGCAGAATAAGGAGAGTGGCAAGGCGATCCTAATGGTGGACAAGACGTTGACCAGCGTTCAACAGCAGGAAATTGGTAAGATAAAGCTCCTTTATCCCTGAATCACAAATAGCCATGGGCGTCAGGTTAAGTCAAGATGCCAGCAATATCTTTTCAGTTTAACACATAGGTATTTGCGACCAGTATTATTCATAATATAGGCTTTTGGGTTAGATCACGTAAGTATAAATGTGTCAACCCTCAGCAAAAGTGCGTTGGGAGGGTCTTCAATCGAATGCTGGCTGTTCAAAAACAGATTCTCGAAATCCTGGAGGAAAATCCTCTCTAAAATGGCACTTCAAGCCTACCTTCTTCAGCCTCTACCAACAGCCAGGCTCTACACCTTAATGTGCTCTGCATTATGCGGAGCACTACCGATGAGCAGACAAACGTAGCTAATTCAAAAACGCTGTCAAAATTAGAAAGCATTAACGTTGGGCGGAGGTGTGTAAATAAATGTCATTTAATTATTTTACAGAGTACAAGCAGAATGAAACGAGAATGAAACTGGAGCTAAAGGCCATGAAAGAGGCACAAGAATACCAAGATGAGAAGATTTCATACCTTCAAAATCAGTACCAGGTGATGATATCAGGTTTTCTACGTGACTTTGGTGGGGCTGATGGTAAGCCCCCACCTTTAGTAGCGTGCTCGAGGTTCACCAGGAGAGGCTCCTTTTTTAATCAGCAACAATCACCAGATCATCTGCATACATAACATGGTTGACCAATATTGAACCATCCCTCGACTGCACCCGGGCATCGATCAGCCTCCCACTGTATCTACTGTATACCAGATGGAAATGCCTCCAGTAAAGCCATAGAAAGCTTCTCGAATTATGTGGTCGAATTTGTGTTAAATAATGTGGGAGCAAGAAGACATCCCTGTCACACGCCAAGATAATCAGGAAATGTCTGTGCTCCCAGCCACATAGCTTTACCCGGGCATACCCACCATCATGAAGGGCCTTAATCATTGTGAGCAGAGTCTGCGACTCCAAAAGCATGAAGAAAAACCTAGAGCCCTGACCTATTTATGGTATGATAGGCCTTGACCACGTAAATAAGCAGAGATATAGGTCCTGTTAGAACATGGTGTCTTTGCAGGCCTGCCGCGGCCTGAAAACACATTGGGGTTCAGCAAGCCTCTCCTCAGCGTGCCTGGTAAGGCAAAGTTCGATAATCCTCCAGGACATTTCCATGCACACTGAAGAGAGAAATGCCCCTGTAGTTGTTACAATGTGTGTGGTCCCCGTTCTTAAAGGGGACCACCAGGGCATCCATCCAATCATGTGAAACCTGTGCAGTGGTCCAGACTGTTGTAATGATGTCATATTGGGCAGTCTGCATGCAAACTGCGCCATCCCACAGCAGTTCATTTGGGAGATCAACTCTGCCCAGTACTTTTCTTGTCCACGGACTCTGGATCGCCTTCCATGCTTCCTCAATAGATGGAACTCCAGCGAGTCACTTATAGAGGGTGACTACTAGTCCCATCAGAGTCACCCCCATCTTGCTCGGGATGTTTTCTGGGCTGAGGGGTTTCCCCTCGCCCAAGATATCAGACAACTGCTCAGACAACCTGAAAAAAACTATTTCTGGGGATCAGCTATAGGATCACCATTCTTCCCCCACAGTATGGGAATAAATGTGGTGCTGCAAGTTACTTTTTTATGGAATTTAATTGTGATTTGTGATTGTGGGCTACTGAGGCAGATTCCATCTCTTCGGTAAACCAAAACCACCACTCATCTTTGCAGTGCTCTACAGCTCTTTAAACAAACAAGTGAAGGCTGTAATAAAATAACCACAAACTTTTTTTTGCGTCTTGCGGCTCCCATCATCTGAGAAGCCACCAACAACATCCCCAGTCACTCCATGCTGAAATCTGGAAAACAATGCACTTCTGAAAGCAGTTTAAAATAACTGGTGCTACAGCAAAGGCATCAGTGTTATTAGAGGCACTAAATCCAGCCTGACAACAGCGAAGTTGAGAAAGATTGAGGAGATTAACTTTGCACACTCCAGACGCAAAGCGTGAAATCTCCTTCACCCTCTTGGCACCGGCATACTACCTGTAAAAAGGAGCCCCAAGTCACCGCTAACAACATTGACTCTCACCATCTTACCTGAAAAAAGCCATAATAAAGACAAAGCACAAACAAGATGAACACAAAGATCTCACCACAACCCCAAAGAGCCTACGAACAAGCTCCACCTTCTCCCGTCCATACTCGAGAGATGAGATTATTGATCCACTATGTGACACCATAGCCTAAAATGCTGCAAACAACAACATTTATCCAAAATTCCTCAAAAACTTGGGACCTCTTGGCCGAAACTGGCTAGCGGCTTTATTTTACCACTGTTTGTTTAAGTGACACAATCCCCAGACCCTGGCAGTCGTTGCCCTGCTGAAACTGGGAAAACCAGAAGATCAGACCTCAAGTTACAGTCAATCGATAGCATATAAATGTATGGAACACACACCGCTCACACGCATCGTGCCTACAGTCAAGCCATACCCGCCCATCAAAGAAGCCAGATTTTGACATGCCAGAAGTTACTGTGACAATGTCGTTTTCTCTCGCTAGCCACATCGAAGCTGGATTCCAGCAAAATGAAATTAATAACACAGTTATGATAGACCTCTCATCCGCCTATGACACTATTTAGAAACAAGGGCTCCTTCATGGGACCTCCTTTGCCAGTACAAAAATATGATAATAGTTTTTCCCATGTTATCTGGCAACAAAACAGGTGTTATGATGTTAAAACACCAAACTAATACCTTTTACAAGGAATCATGTCTGCATTAACCACAATGCTTGTGGTCAGAATGCAAACAAAAAACACACTGATAATATATGCATTGTCCTTGAAACTGATTGGTCCACACCAGAGACAGCTTTCTTTTGAGCCTATTCTCAAACGGTGGTAACACACAATGGCTGGAGTAGTATATTGTTTTTTAAATCCACTACTCAATGAGGGCCTCCCCATGCCATGCAGAATGTGGGCATTATTGAACCATACCTCACCATGCTCATCAGTGTGGGTTGGAAAGAGGAACTTGCCACCAATATTTGCCATGGGAAGGAATTGCGGGTTCAAGGTGCGCTGTGCAAACCACTGCACCACCACACCACCAATGTGCAAATTAACACATATAAATTATAAAGTTGCAAAATTACCCAGAAACTGCCCAATTTCGTCAGATCTCGGAAGCTAAGTAGCGATGGTCCTATATAGTGCTTGGATGGGCAAGCACCACAATGCACAGTAAGTTGTAATAGGCAGCTGCGGGGTTAAATGGTAGGCACCTCTAAGCCCCATCCTATCAGCAACCCGTAGTGGCCAGCGGGGTATCCACGGCTTGCGTAGCTTGGTGAAGCTCTCATCAAGCAGTATATGGCTAAAAGGGCTGTACCGGTAAAACAGCTATTGGTGGTGAGCCCTATCCCCTCCTGTCAACAATATGATCACCGTCCATTATCATCAATTTCTTCATATTAATTACGTCTACTGCACCTCCCATGCAATACATCTGCGCTAGTCTAGTCAGGAGAACCTTCATGACAGCTGCATTTTCTGTATGATGAATACATCCACCAGTATTTACCATGGTGGTTGATGTGCTAGAGCCATTAACTACTGCAACAAGCAGCAGCAAACCTGCTACCGCTCGGCCATCGCACCTCCTAGTGAGGTCACCTCTAAAAATTCGTTCCATGAAAGAAATTCGCTGATGAGCATTTTATGGTTTTCTTTCAGAACGTTTTGAAGATATTCAGCAAGAATATACAGGTGATCAAGACACACACGGATGAAAACATCGAAGACATAGAGCAGAACCACAAGAAGAAGATGGCCTCAAATAACAAATGCATCATCAGCTAAGCATGATTGGTTAATAGTTGTAGCCAAAATGCAATTATGCTGCAAGTCAAATGTGCAACATACCAACACCATAATTCGCCAATAATCATTATCAACCACGATCAATCCATGCTGGTTGATATTCCTGACCAGTGTGGTGAAGTATGGCAAAATAACCCACGTGACTAATACATGAGCACTTTATCCAGCAGTGAAATGACAAGAGGCTGAAAATTATAACAAATTATTACTGGCCAAGACTAGACTTGGTTCGAAGCTTTCGTGACTGCAGGAATTACTCTTTGTTTTTTTTTCGGTAAAGTCACGTATAAATAAGAAATAATAAAATAACATAATAGCGTACGACGTTTCGGTTGCAACACAAGCAGCCATCATCAGGTACAGAAGAGCTAAATTTACGAGAGAGGGGAAACGCTTAACCCCAGATGTATATACAGACACCCAAGTAGGGGGAACTAACACAGACACAACAGGGGACACAGAGAGAAGCATACCCAACAGACAGGGTTTAGCAAAAATTGGAAACCATATAAAGCAACACAGACGGTCGGTCAAAACACAATTAACGCATAGTCTGGTTAATGGTGGGACTTCAAGAATAATTGCATAATTACATTGCAGGATTAAGAGAGATAGTGATGTCTGGAGATGCCAACATCCAGCAGTAGATTCATATTGGCTGAATATGACTATATAACATTCTTTTATATTTAATTTGCATTATATACTCCATAACATTTTTTCTAAATTTCTTATACCTTATATACTATGAAACATAATCTATAGCATTTAATATGCATAATATACTAATAAAAAAATTATATCGCATTTTACACACATTATATACTTTATAAATCCAGCCATTTTACTCTGCTCAGTTAGGTCTGACATAGGCAGGCATCTTTACCACAAGATCTAGTAAGTCCGAGGAATGACCCAGAAAGGCAAAGTGACTGGCTTTCTGGATTGCTCTTATAATTCGTTTGTTTGGCTGTGGAGGTTTGATCTAACGACACAGATTGGGGCAGATCATTATGGCCTAACCCAAAAATCAATCATGAATGTATAATTAGCTGCAGACATGTGTCAAGGTGGGCATTCTCACTTAATGCAGGCAATACTTCTAATGTAGGTGTTCCTCAAGAGTTTTTTTTGTTTAAACTATTTGTTGACTTAGAGCTGATAATATGCTCGTTCTATTAAAATCTAATTAATTCGGGTAAGCTATGAAGGCAATGTGAAATTCGTATTTTACGCAATGCGTATCTCGAGTATTTGATTGTTTGAAGGTGGTCGATTGTTGATTGATTTTTGAAAAACTTTCTAATTATTTTGTTTGGTTGTTACCTAATGTATTACATTATTTGATGAAGAATTTGGTGAATGTGTTTAACGCTTCACGATATAAGGTGTATTTGGTCGATGACTAACATCTGATTTGTCACCTTTATTGTGTAATAAAGTAATTTTAGAGATCTGCCAGTGTGTTTCTGTATTTCTTCATTGTCGAGAATTCTAAGCAATAATTTTTGCCACATTCAAGATTATAAAAAGTATAAGCTTTACCCTTTTTGGAAATAATGTTTCAGGAGGCGTTAAGCTGTTCGTACAAAAAATCTAAACCTATTACAAGGCATTAACCACGCATATTTGTAACTTGCTGACTCACCCCCACTGAACATATGCGAAAAAAGAGGTTCATAGCTCATCAATTCCACCTCCAGTCTAAATGAAGATTCTGATACAGATACTTGTGTGGTGCCTAACTCGGAGACAATAAGACTTGGAGGCACTTCTTTATTAACAAGCAACATCGGGGTTAACACTCTTAATAATTAGTCTGTCTATTGACGGCGACGCTACTCAGGACAGTCGGTAGGCCGCCTGACTGGTCACGCCCCGAGATGGTGAAGATGGAGACGACGAGAAGAAGGGAGAAGACGACGAGAATGGTGACGAATACTTCAGCAGCACGATGAGGATCCCACTCCAACAACAGCTCCGAGGTCCCCTACAGGGGCCCCTCTTATACTGTCAGCTTGGCCTGGCTCCGCTCCTGGCCACGCCCCCCTTCGGGAACCTACCAGCGGATTCTTGGTGTGCCCCCTCTGTGACCTTTTCCCTAGATCCCCCTCTGGTGTATATCCCGGTCTGCTGACGTCAGGGCTGCCGTAAGCCGCTGATCCCCTTTCCTGCCAGCAGCCAGCGCTGTGCTACTACCCTTTACCACTACACTACTACTTTATGCCACTACACTTGTGGTCAAACATGCTAACATTTTTGCAAATGTAATGGCAAGCTACAATTACCATCAGTAAAATAATAATCTGCAACATCAGCAATAGCATCAGCAGCATCATCATCGTCAGCAACATTATCATCAGCATTATCACAAATATATACAGGTCCGAGTACACATTGGCCTACTGCTCCTGCTCCTCCATTTTTCCCGCACCCCGACGCCGATCAATTATTTTTTTTTAATTTGTACTGGAGGAGCAATCCACAGATGTCCAGTAGAACATAGTCACTGCCAGGGCCATCCATAGGGGGTGCAGAGCCCGGGGTAAATCCCCTATGTGCCCCTCCCGCCCCCCTACGCCTTCAAACTAAACCGGAATAATTGCAAGGGCGAGGGGAACAGGGAGGTCACACCAATTTGCTGGACTCTAGGGACGACGACTAATCCAACGACAGTGAGTGGGGGCTATGAAAACAATGATCCTACCTGCAAGCAGCTCACATACTACTAAACTATATAATATTTATATTCTTAGTTTTTTCGGTAAAGTCACGTTGAAGAGAAACAACAAAATAACAAAATATATATAAAACAATAAAAAAAATTCTCACGACGTTTCGACCATAACTCAAACGGTCATCGAAACGTCGTGAGAATTTTTTATTGTTTTATATATATTTTGTTATTTTGTTGTTTCTCTTCAACGTGACTTTACCGAAAAAACTAAGAATATGAATTACTGCAGTCACGAAAGCTTTAAATCAAAATATATAATATTTGTTGTAACAGGTAAAGCCCACTGAGATATCGATTTTTTTCAGAAGCGACCTGGCCAATGTTGGTAGCTCAACGAGCTGGCTTTTCATCATGTGGGAATGTATAATAGCAGTCAAATACTCTGCATGCATGTTGATTCTAAATGTGGAGGGAAAACCCAGACGACAGGGAGAAAAACCACACAATCACGAGGAGAGAGAACACGCAAACCTCAAATATACAGCAGGCACCTTCAGGTATGAAAAAATAATAGGTTTACGCTTTCTGGCAATAAAACAGGTATTAAGATATTCTTGGTTCTGTCGGTAAAGTCACGTAGAAGTTAAATAATAATAACATTGTTTTATTTGCATTATTTTATTATTTTCCTTCTACGTGACTTTACCGAAAGAGCTAAGAATATGAATTACTGCAGTCACGAAAGCTTTAAATCAGGTATTAAAATGTTCACATACTAAATATAAACCTTTTCTAAAGAACAATGTCTGCATTAACCATACTTACTTGTGGTGAACATGCAAACAAACCTGCTCTGATAATATATGCAGTCTTTAAAACTGATTGGCCTTCACCAGCGACGGCCTTCACCAGCGACAGCCTTCTTTTGGGCCTCGTCTCACAAGCGTCAGACCAGAGAACGCCAAAAGGTAAACAGTACAAAGACAATGCACTATCGGAGCATGTAAAGCTCGAACTGTTCGCCTTTTGGCATTCTCTGGTCTTACACTGGTGACACCAGGCCCTAAGGAAGGCTGTCTCTGGTGTAGGCCAATCAGTTTCAAAGAATGTATATATTATTAGAACATGTTTGCATGTTCACCACAAGTACGTGTGGTTAATGCAGACTTGATTCAAATGGTTTCTATTTGTTGTTTGAACATCTTAACACCTATACTCATTGGTTCTTTCGGTAAAGTCACGTATGTAGAAATAAAATAAAATAAATCACGACGTTTCGAACGCAACACAAGCTCTCGTCCTCAGGTGAAAATGGCGTAAGCCACACAGCGAGGGAATGCACAGAGGGACATCGCACACAGAGCACACCAAGAACGGCAAAACTGCACGGAGGCAAATACATTGGTATTTGCATGTCCATGCACGGTTACCCTTCCCTTTCCTCACGTCTACAGCCTATATAAGTCCCTGTATGTTATCCCTCGGGGCGTCTTTCTGTGTGTACACCTCTCCATGTATGTCTCTTGGTGTGGTGTTGCTCGTTGTGTTCCTCTGTGCTGCCCAAAACACCTTTCCCCTGTGTGTCTTCTCTGTGTATGTATCTCTGCTACCTTGTACCTCGTGTCTGTTCACGAGTCCTTATCCTCTGTTTACGTTGGTCTGTTCAACCTCGAAGATGAACACAAAATTTAACAGTCTTTGAAACATGTGGCCAACCAGGTTTAGTGTCTAACTGTGTTGTTGGCCGACTGGGTTGCATCGCATTATATTTCTAATGTTTGCCGAGTTCTCGTCTCCCATCTTCTTGCTCTAGGTTGAGCACACCAACGTAAACAGAGGATAAGGATGGGACTGTTCGAGTTCCGTGTATTCCCGTTCAGACTCACTAAAGCGCCTGCGACATTCCAGCGGTTGATGGAGTTGGTGATGCGGGGCTTGCAATGGGAGCAGTGACTAATTTACCTGGATGACGTGATAGTGTTCAGTAGGTCCCTGTCTGAGCACTGGTCCAGGTTACGGGAGGTGTTCCAACGACACCGTGTCAGTGAGGCAGGGGTGTGCACCGACCCGGAAAAGGTATGTGCTGTAGTGGAATGGCGACGGCCGAGGAACCTGACGGAGATCAGGTAATTTTTGGGGCTAGCCACTCATTATCGTCGATTTTTGAAAGGATTCAGCGAGATTGCACGCCCCCTCAACAAACACACTTCCCCTAAGAACCCCTATCAGTGGACGGAGGCCTGCCAGACGGCCTTCATCACCCTCAAGGATCACCTCACCCATACCCCCACCCTTGCTTTCCCTGACTTTTCCACAGATTTTGTTTTGGACACCGAAGCCTGCAACAGTGGGCTGGGCGCGGTGTTGTCACAGGTGCAGAATAGGACGGAGCGGGTCATTGCATACGCCAGCCGGACCCTGAGCGGGGCCGAACTGAATTATTGCGTAACCCGTCAGGAACTGTATGCCGTGATTTTAGCGTGTGAACAGTTCCGGCCGTATCTGTACAGCAGGAAATGTTGCATGTGCACTGACCATTATGCTCTGTAGTTCCTCCTCACATTCAAGGAACCGCGGGGGCAGATGCTGACACAGCTGCAGAAGTACAACCTGCAAATCGAGTACAGGGCTGGGCGGATGCA